TGTGGCATCAAGTCATAATGTCTATATCCATGCTTGCAGAGCATGGATAACATTGAAATATCTGATAGTTGCAGTGATTTTTAGCTCATTGCTATTTTCATTTTGTTTTGTAGAGCTTYAAAGCAAGAATAAGCAATATCCCCACAATAAAGAAATTCCTGCAGCCTGGCAGCCAGAGGAAACCTTTAATACGAGAGGAAGATGTACCCAAAGTGATAAAAATTTTCTACTAAGCAGCAGCCTAAAGCTACAGAAACTCTATTTCATTGTGTTTGCTRATAGTGGCAAAGTGAAATTAATGAAAACACTGTAAACCAGGGGTTTTGATCTGTCTTTCCGTAGCTACAGGACTGGTTTTAGCCTACTGCCAACACTTCCAAGGTACAGCTACATGAGCCTACCAATAAGGGCAATAGCTTACTGATTAGGGGGTGAATTGCACACCAGAGGATGCCTTAAATGACTAAAGAGTATACTTGAAATAAAATCTTACCGTTGATACTCAAACCCAGGCTGTCCATCGATTTCTTGCTGCTATATTTATCCCTAAGGTCTGTCTGCTTCTGTTYTTCTGGCATTGGGAAATTAGGAGAATTTATCCCAAGTAGTGGGTGATGTCTGTTTTTTGGGAAGTGCCAGGAAAAGTCTTCAGGTCCTGCTTAGATGAGGGTGAAAGGTTTGAATTCTTAGCTTTTCTCAGAGCTTAACTTGAAATACCCTTTTGGAGCAGAGGTTCTACTGCACCTCTGTTTTGTCACTAGACACTTAAACTCTTGCATTGCAGCTTCATCAATGTTTTCTTTATCACATGGTCTATTGTAGTAGCTGAAAGCCCTTTGGAGACTCTGAGAAAGGAATGCTTGTCACCAGCTGGGAAGTTTAAATCTTATTATTTGAGGCAGGAGGAATCAGGATGATGTCAGGTGTTAGTGAGACCTTGGAATGTGGAGCTTAATGCTGACTCATGAAACCAAGTTTAATAGAAGTTGTTCATTATAATCAGTTAAATCAAACTCCACTCCTGAGGTTTGAAAAACTGTTAAATAGGCACATTTTTCCAGTGAAAGGTGTTCCTGCCCGTGGCAGGAGAGTTGGAACTAGGTGATCTTTAATGTCCCTTGTAACCCAAACCATTCTATGATTCTGTGATATCATTTAAACACTAAATTAACCAAATTTGTAAAATGAAAGAGCCAGTGCCTTAAATTCAACTAAATCTAGAGTACTAGCTSTTTTCAGCTGGGCAAACTCAGGGCTCAGTAGCTCTTGCTAAACCCAACAGATTCTTTATGAGAAATGTCATGTAGCTGGAACCAGGTTTTGTCATCAAAAAAGGGAAAACCCCATGTTTTTTAGCAGCATAGCATGCATTATAAAGAGTTGTTGCATGAGCTGTTTCCCTCCTGGCTCACTGAAGTGTTTGGACAATACTTGCAGCTGCTGAGTGCTGTCAGAAACTCGAGCCACAGACTTGGACTGTGAGTACTGACTCCATGCCAGGACAAACCCTGGGCATGGCTGTGTGGTTTCAGGATCCTCCACACAGATCCCAGCCTTCAGCCTCACAGAGTCAGAGCCCCTGGCACTCGGAGTGTTTGGCACCCCTTGCACAGGTGCTGCAGCCTCTCCCTGGTCACACCATCGCTGCAGCCTCTGTTGCCTTGGGGGACTCCAAGCCTGTCCCCTGCCCCCTCCTGTCCTGGCCATGTCCCTGAAATGCAGCTGCCTCGGAGCCAGCCCAGTGGAAATGCTGTCCAGAAAGCCATGGGGTGTTTCCCAGTGTGCAACAAGCCAATACTCACATACTTGAGAGAGACATTGACTATTTATTTCAGAGTTGTGCAAGCCTGAGTGCTCAGTGGTATTTCAAAAATCAAGCACAACTTTTTACTATTTATTTAGTTTAGCAAGCAAAGGTGTTCATGTTCATTGGCTACAAGTTACCTAGTTCTCTTAATAATAATAATAATAATAATCTACCTTCTATTGGTGAATGATGATTTTGCATGCTAATTATTCCACGCTTGGTCTTTCTCTTCAGTTGGGATTCTTGAGTTGGTGGGCTGTGAGTCAGTGGTGGGAACCTCTCCCTGTCAGAAKAACCTTTTACCCAGCCAGAGCTGATCTCAGCACAGCTGCTGAGTGGGCTTTTTTAGTTTCTTCCTTATCTTGGGAGTTCTGCCAAAYGTCCTTGCGGCCTGTAAATTCTGCTTTCTTTGTATCCAGTCTCAGAGGTRCATACTTATTCCCAAGCCTTGTTAACCTCCCCCTAGGTCTGAGATCATCAAAACATGTTCAGCCCTTAACAAGGCAATTCTCCTGACAGGTACTTTCTCTTTCCAACTGTTGGACATCACTTAGAACTTGTTTGGTAGCTGCCCTCTCTTTCACGGATAACAACTTATTTCTTGCTGATTAGGCTTGAAAGTATACAAAGGTCAAACATCAAAGCACATCCTTTCTCAAGGAAAGTTTACACATTCCACATTTTGCAACAGAAACTCCCTAAGACTCTAGGGCCAAGGCCGAGGCGGCTTTTCCCTGAGCTGGTACAGTTTGGTGATGCGGGGTGGCAGCGGCCATTCCCCGGGCCCGAAGCGGCCGCGGCGGGCGGGGGGCACTGCGAGGCCGCGGCTGCAGCTGAGGGGAGGAGCGGCCGCCTGAGGGGGCGGGAGGCCCGAGCGGCCAAGGCGGCGGGGCGGGGAGCGTGTTGGCTGTGTGGCGTAGGGCCAGGGCGCTGTGGCTGTGTTAGTGGGGTAGGTTGGCCGTGTGGCGGTGCGACAGGGCGCTGTGTCGGTGGGGTAGGTTGGCCGTGTGGCGGTGCGGCAGGGCGCTGTGTCGGTGCTGTGGCGGTGGGGTAGGTTGGCCGTGTGGCGGTGGGACAGGGCGCTGTGTCGGTGCTGTGTCGGTGGGGTAGGTTGGCCGTGTGGCGGTGGGACAGGGCTCTGTGTCGGTGGGGTAGGTTGGCCGTGTGGCGGTGGGACAGGGCGCTGTGTCGGTGCTGTGTCGGTGGGGTAGGTTGGCCGTGTGGCGGTGGGACAGGGTGCTGTGTCGGCGGAGCGCTCCGGGCTGGGCGGTACCAGCCCGGTGAAGGGTTTGGATATAGCCGGGATCAGGGCAAAGGGCGAGGTGCGTGACCGAGCGGCTGGCGCTCGAGGAATGTCCCGACGCGCTGCTCTGGAGAGTTTGTTCATGGGTTATTCCCCAGCTTCTCTCCCGCAGCAGGGACTCGGGCGGGCGGGTTGAKTGGGCACAGCGGGGCTTTGTGTTCGGCTCTGGGTGGGATCAGCAGGGAAGCTGAAGACGAACTGCTCTTTAKAGTGCAAGTGCAGTCTTTGGGGGTACTTTGCCTTTCCCCTCGTCCAGGCCTTTCTCCTAGCTCTGGTGGTGGAAGGAAGCTTTTCGAACGCAGGCTTGGCCCGAGCTCCAGTGCAAACCCCCCGCTGCTGAGCACTTGCAGTGTTAAGTCGGTCCGGAGACCGAGCCGGGCCGTGAGCGTTGTGCTGTAAGGGCGTCCTGTGGAACAGCCCCGTGCCAGACCGGTTCGAGCAGCAAAGTGTTGCACGGAATATAGAAACAACATTTAAGATCTTGCATCAAATTATGAGCTTGCTGCTAAATTCACTTAGCGTTGCTCACTGAAAGGCTGGTGCCTGAATTATTTTGGACAAAATTACGTGGGGGTTTTTAATCTAGCAGTTTTTCATCTGCCGGGCTGTGGTCCAAAGGAAAGTCTGATGCACTAAAACATCAAGGAAGTTAGTGATTAACTTTTAGGTCCATTATTGCTATTCAAGAAAGATAACTTATCAACTTTGCAACTCCTTTATGACTACTTATTATTTTACAAATTGATATTAATTACAGAGCCCTAACAGGGTCACTAAAGTGCTTTGCAGTCCGATGTAAGTGTTCAGCCTAACTCCCAAATTCAGACCTTTAGCAGTGCATGTTGAGGAAGATGTAAGTTTTTTCTTATTTGATCAAAAAGCCTCAACCTTTAGCTGATCCCCACGAGGAGCTGATGATGAGCAAATACAGCTTACATTGAYACCTGCAATTTTTTTCACTGACACTTGTTCTGCTCTTCAGCATTCCCAGCTGTTTTGATTGGAGCATTGAGCTGAGACTGGCAATCAGGGCTCTGGTTGGGCTGAATTTTATCAGCTTAGCTTTGGGGAGAGGTGTGGGAAGTTTACTCTTTCTGCTTAGGCTAGCCTGTCCTGCCTTGATCCCACATGCTGGAGGTCAGAATGCTTGTCCAGTCTGTGAGATTTCAAGTGCAGTTCTCCTGTCTGATGGAGTTGAAGCCAACATCTACTTTCTGAGCATCAGGGAATGAAGTATYTTTGAAGTATAGAAGGTCATGAGCTCTCTTGCTTGGTATAGTGTGATTCACGCACAGGAATTAAGAAATTAAGTATAGGTCATGGTATTACTGGGTGTAGGGCCTTATGTATGTAAGGGATCTGTCAGTCACTTCTCTGAATGCCTTGTTGCTGTTCAGGTGTCAGGAATCCTGCAGCGCTAGACTAGATGCCAGCTCCAGTCAAGGTACAGTCTATGGACAAGAACATACTTTTTGTATCAGGAGAACTTAGTTACAAGAGGTGTCTGGGGATATACCTAACCATTGCCAAGGTTAGGTAGAAGCTGAGCAGTGTTTTGAAGTCCTGCATGTTGGATGGGATGTTTCTTCTGTGAGTCCAGTTCCTAACAGAGCAGTGGCTGTTTGCTGTAGAGCCTGTTGAAGATAGCACCAACACAAAGGACTTCAGTGGAGAGGGTCAAGGATGCAGTCTCCCCTCTCGCTGTTTGTTTGTGCCTCTTTACTGATGCCTTTGGGATTATGGTCAACATTTTCACTTTGTAGCTCAGCTATGTATTGTGAAGTCTATGCAGGCATAAATAAGCCTGCCTGTGAATTGATAAACCCTTGGTTTAACAATGAAGCATTCTGTTAGTCTGTGACTCTGTCTTCTGAAATCTGCTTCATTCTTCTGTAACTCATTAGTGATAAGAGTACAGTGTTAGCTTTGTCTCCAGCAACAGGCAAGCTCGCATCAGCTGCCAATGTCATACAGTGGCATGTGACTGCACATGGTAGGGAAATTTGAAAGGACAAAGTGTTTCATCCCAGTGCCATCACCTGATGGGCTGACTTCACCCCCCTCTGCGGGGGGCATTGCCCAGGCCTTATCTGCCCAACAGAAGTCACAGTCCCATTTGTTTGGTTTTGATTTTAAAGTTCAGTTTTCTGGGCAGATAGAATACAAATCCTTGTTACAGTTTGACTGTAGCAGAACTAGCTAAATAGGGAAGGCAGCAGGCCTGGTAAATGATATTGTTCTTAAAGTCATATGTGTAAAGGCACAGGAGCACAGGGCTCTAAATTGTTATATGAGAGAGGCGGAAATAGTGCTGGTGTTGCTAGTGTGGTGCAGTACATTTTCAAATCTGGTAGGACATGGTGCTGTCACAAAACCCAACACCTACTGAAGAGATTGCATAACTGCAACATTAAAAATGTATTAATTCAGGAATACCCTACCGTCCTGCTTTGGTTGTAAAACTCTAGTAAGCTGTTAAAATTATATTAGTATATGATTTAGGAGGTGCTTATTGTCATGGTGTGGTTGAATGGCTGCATATTCTGGTAGTATGTTTTTTTTGTTTCTTTGGTTTTTTTTTTTCCCATTAATCCACAGGAAACTTGGTTGCATCAAGCACAAGTATGTCAGCCTTGATTGTTCTTCTACTTTCACATTCCTCTAACTGTATTTACTATTTTGGAGTGGGACATTTAAAATGCTAATTTAAAGCRTGCTTCSTATAAGAYCATAATCTTGATTTTACCAGGAAAGAAAAACTCTGAAATCATGGCGGGGAAACCCAAGCTGCATTACACCAAGGGAAGAGGGAAGATGGAGTCAATCCGATGGCTGTTAGCAGCAGCTGGGGTTGAGGTTTGTACTTTTTTTTTATAAAGTGATCGGTGATGAAAAAAGGTATTCTCTGGAAAGGTTTCCCAATTGCATCTGTGCTTAGGGATTTGCACCTTGTCACATATTGTGATGCAGAATGCTTAGATTGAGTGATACACTCTTGGGGTGTATTTCAGGTATTCCTTCAGCAACAGTTGCACAGCAAAAGGGTTTGAACAGACTGATAGAATTGATAGGTGTCTTTTTGGAAACATACTTTACACTGAGTTTGTAAACTTGCTACAAACAAAACTTCGACTTTTTCTCAATGCTCATAACTTTGTCTCACGATTTTTCTTCACTGAAAGACATAAAAACTTTAGAATGTTGTCTCTAAACAAAGTACCTTTTATTCTTTGGGTCAGGACCTGAGTAGGAAAAATTGGCATATCTGCCCCAAAGGCAGCATTAGGGGATCTATCTAGATTCACGTCAGGTGGAGACCATCCTWAAGCCTCTTAATTTCTACATTAAGTTTTTGTTTGAATGTGGTATTTTGGAGGTATTTGTACTCCTAGGAAATAAAAGGCTTACTTGAGAATGTTGGTGACAGAGAATTTGTAGAGTGTGAGTGCTGAGGAAACAAAAGATCTTGTCCTGGTTCCAAAAAAAAAACAAAAAAAAAAAAACCCAAAAAAACCAGTGGGTGAAAGAAGGAGAGAGGGAGATAAATTGAGTGTAACTAGAGACATAAATTACAAAAAAATTATCAATATTTCATGTGCATGTGGCATCAGCTGCTTTTTAAATGAATGATCGGGTATCTGTTAATGGTTCATGCACTCAAGTGGACTGGTCTTTATAATGAGGAAGTTCTTTCTGCAGCATAATGCATTGTCCAATCCTGTGGAGCTGGGGACACTGTTGTCCTGGGTTATTTGCTGGAGCAGAGATGAAGAATAGGAGTTGGGGGTCTGTTAAGGAAACTTTCCTGTCTGACTATCCARGAGSCTCCCAARCAGTCCTTACAACAATTTAATTGTRGTGCAAAAACAGAGTAACAGCTCGTGCAGGAGGAGGTACCTAAAACAAAGGAAGCCCTGGRCCTTTTATATCCTCACAGTCTTTAATTCGAAAGAGTTTGGGATCATCAGCTCCTGCTGTGTCTCACTTGGCTGGTGCCATAGCTCCATTGTTGTGCAAGGGGTCTGTAGTTTCCGGCTCTTGCCTTGGGCTCCCAGAGCACCATGAGCAGCTGGAACTGCATCTGCTCATSCAGCTCCARCACTGAATGTATTCCTCAACAGAGTCAGCACACTGAGAAAAGTGTGGAGAATATTGTGCAGAGGTGGACTRACTTTCAGACCTTCCACTTCTCCATTGCCTTTGGAGTGACACAATATTGTTTTCAATTGTTGCTTTTCAGTTTGAGGAAGAATTCATAGAAACAAAAGAAGACTTAGAAAAATTGCGCAATGGTGAGTCTGTAAACTGTACCTTAAAYATAAAGTCACACAAAAGTAACAAAAGAACAACAGATGGTATTTTTGTAAGACGTGCAATATGATGTGACATGTRAAAAAGAGGTGCTTCTTTGTGGATGCTTTCATTCCTCGGAATTAGAAATGTCTTGGTCTCTTACCAGCTCCTTTTCTTATCTTCAGTGTAGTACTTCAGCAGTCTAAGTAGCTTGCTCCATTTTGTTCCTCAGATGGAGTCCTGCTGTTTCAGCAAGTGCCCATGGTRGAGATRGATGGSATGAGGATGGTGCAGACCAGAGCCATCCTCAGCTACATTGCAGCAAAGTACAACCTCTATGGGAAGGACCTGAAGGAGAGAGCCTGGTATGGTAACCATGTACCACTTACTAACACTCTTCCATGATGTTTAATATTTTCAAAAAGAATGTTGCTGTCAAATATCTGCATGTAAAGGTGAATACACCTAACAGACTATCACTTACTCTAAAGGGCTTATTTTGTGAGAATGGAAGGGTAACTCCAGAGGCTGAAGAGGTTATTGTGGATTGGCAATTGGTAGCCAGCACCCTTTCATGATTAGACCTCAAAACTACTTCTTTTTTTCTAGTGTGGTTTGCATATATTGGCTTTCCTCACACAGCATAAATGAATAGATTATTGATGGAAAACAGCATGAACTCCCMTTTAAATACATTAGTTGCAGCCTTTTTTCTGTATCTTGCTTATTGCATACACTGGGAGCCTGTTTTACAATCTGTGYTGTGAAATAACTGGAAGTTTTCTTGTTTCAAAGAAAATAAACCAGTGTCTTATGTTACATTCATTAACAAGTATTTTACTCAGCGATCACTTCAGCACTGTATTTCAGGAAGATAACCAAAATGTAAAGTTTGAATGATAGATATTRAAGAAAAATATTTGTTTCAGGATTGATATGTATGTGGAGGGAACTACAGACCTTATGGGAATGATCATGTATCTCCCTTTTCAACCAGCTGATACAAAAGAAAAGAATCTTGCCTTAATCATTGAACGAGCTACAAACAGGTACTTTCCTGTTTATGAAAAGGTAAGTGTTAAATCACCTGCAGTTCACAAAGACAATTCCAGGTTTCCCCTCCTACCCCATTCCCCTGTCCCCACACATGTACTTTCCAGAAGGCAAGTGACAGTACAACTCTAGAAATATATGAYGGAGCCAGTATTCAGCAATGTGAAAAGAGGGCTACAAAATAAGTTTTGGCTGGTTTCAGTACTGGGTCTCTTYACTGTCCATCTTTTCAAACCTAGCTGAGTGGCTGATGGCTCCTAGCATTTTGCATAAATGCACCATTTCAATACTTGTGCCAGCCTTCAGAACTTAATGCCTGGAAGTGYCATGTGTTATCATAGAAATATTAAGGTTGGAAAAGACGTTCTAAGATCAAGTCTAGCTGTCAACCCAGCACCACCACCATTTAATGTTCACCATTAAACTGTGTCTTGCAGTGCCATATCCACATGTTTCTTGAGCATTTTCAGGGATGCTGAGTTCAGYAATTTCCTGGGCAGTCTGTTCCAGAGCTTTGCAATCCTTTACATGAACAAAAATTTAGTAAGATCTAATCTAAACCTTCTCTGGTGCAACTTGAGTCCATTTTCTCTTGTYCTGTCACTGGTTACTTGGGAGTTTAGGTTGATCCCTACCTCACTACAACTTCCTTTCAGGGTGTTGTAGAGAGTAATAAGGTCTCCCACTCAGTCTCCTTTTTCTTTTTTCTTTGCTGTTCAAAGTTAAATATATTTTTGCTTTACGGTTAAAGATCTAACTCTATAATCTTTCTTAAATCCATTACTTAAATACATTATACTTAAAGACTCTGACTGTCATTCTCTGAATTGCTACTTGGGCATCCTTAGSTGTGCAGAGAGGCTCTGCAAGTAACATACATCCAGGTTAGAAAGCATAAAGCAATTATTTACTGGCTAGCATGCACCAAAGAGCCTGAGCTATGAGGGAAGGCATTGGTATGCTTGCCATCCCCATAGAGCACATGAAGAGTCTTTCTTGGCTAGGGATGAGTTGGTCAGGAGGGGATGGATTGTTCTTTTCTTCTCCCTGGAACATTGCCTGGATATTACTGAATTGTCATTTTCTACCAACTTGTTGTTTGTTCTGTTTTATTTTTCCTGTAAGAATATATTATTTTTTTTTGTTTTAAAATTTTCCTGTTTGAATTGAGCCAGCTGTGATCCTCATCTCACGAGTTTGTTTTGAGTTTGTAACTTTGACCTTTGTGCCTGGTGTAGTTGTGCTGTACAGACCTTCTCACAGCGCATTCTCAGGGCATAGTGGTCTCCTTGGAAATGTGCRAAGGGTACAAAGCTATGTTGTTTCAGAGCTGAACTGGGTTTCCAGCTTGAAGCCTTGGTTACCAGGCAGCTGTAGTCCATTCAAAAAATACAGGACATGATGCAATTTCATGTCCCACTTTATTAGAGCCTTAAATTGCACAAACAAAACCCACAGAGGCTGCCCTGTAAAATAACAATGTAAATGACATAATCCAGCATTTCTGTACTCAAACGTTCACATCTATCTACTGCCATACCAGTGGAGGGCTATGCTGAGAGAGATTGCACACATTAATCTTTCAAAAAAATAGAAGTCTGATAAGTTGTTAAACAATAAAAAATATTGCACCAAAATACTCTAAGCCTGTGCCTAGGTGGCATAAACTACAGTTGGGATATATTTTAGCATGTATGCTCCCTGTAGGAGAGTCCTTAAAGTAACCCCTGTTTGCTTGTAGTAAAGACACAGCTAAAATTTTCCATGATTTTAGCCTAGTTAATTTTGTTAGAATGGTTAATAATTTTCTTTCTGTACCAGCTGTTTAAGATATCCATTGATTCAGCTTATCAGGGTTTGCAGTCTATGTGTTACTCATTCAGCAAGCTGACAGGAAACATCCCTAGCTGTGAGTCTTCACTTTAAACACTCAGCAGCCAGATGGAGCAGCAAAAGGCAATATATAAAGCCCTGCAGGCAATCAGATGCCGATGCTGTTTGGGAGTTTCCATATGGTCCTGATCAACAAGCTGTGGTGGACCTTGTTGGAGCAGTGTAGGAATAACTACACAAAAGTATCAGYTGTAACTCTGCCAATGAGTGCTGCCTCTATGGTGAACTGGCAGATGGGACTGGAGAAGCAGTTGGCTTCCRAAGTCACAGATTGATTATCTTCATTTTAGTGCACATTTGTTACTTGTTTAGGAGTACCTTAGTGTGGCTTAGGCACAGATACACCCTTCTCTTGCTCCTGATAGGAGGGTGATAGTCTTCAGGACAAAGGTAGGCTGGAGAGCTGGTAACTGCTCTGAAGTTGTGCTGCAAAGTTCATCTCAACTTGTCTGCTACAGTTCTTAGTAGCTTTGGCAGACTGTGATTCTTGCATCAGCAGTTTGCCACAAAGGAATCCTTCCTTACAAGATGAAGGGTGGGAAGGCCACATACATTCATTCTGGACCTATTTCAAACTGTACTCAGCATTCTCARATTTTGCTGAAACATCTGGAAATTCACTTGATTTTTTTCTTTAAAATTCAAGGTGTGCTTACATGTAAACTGGCCTGACTGCCTCTTCCAATTACTTCAGTCCTGTTTCTTTTGTGTCATTAAGTCCTTCTTGTGGTACTGGACTTGGTAAACAGCTATCTGGTGCAGTAGGTTAGAGTGAGAGATAGAGTCAYGCACACGGAAACATAAATTCTGATTTAATTTTTTGGTATAAAAATACCACTTTCTAACTTCATAGGTTCTTGCATGGCTTTGCTCTTCTGTGTTTCTTTAGAAATCTGTCTGCAATGAAATATTGAGATAAAATTGTTACATCCTATGTGACTTCCTTTTTATKTTTTTCATATTTTATAGGCCTTAAAAGATCATGGACAGGATTATCTTGTTGGCAACAAATTAAGCTGGGCAGATGTCCATCTGCTGGAAGCCATTTTAATGGCAGAAGAATGCAAGCCTGATGTACTGTCTGCATTCCCTCTGCTACAGGTTAGTTATCATCTGGTCTCAATATGGAAGGTAACAAATTTCACTGACTTTTGCTAAAAGCTAATTGATGTTTACATCTTTTGAGTTATTGTGCTGACACTTCTGTGGTCTGTTTGACTACAAAAACTTGCACTCAGTGCACTGCCTTGCCCCAGAGCTGCTAGGAGCTCACCTTTCTCCAGCTCTGGTTTTCCCAGATGTTCTCAACTGGGAGGAATTTGCTTACTGATAATACCAGATTGGTCCTTTAACTGCTACTTCCATGTCTTCAAACATGATGACAAGCATCAGGAAGGGAAGTCTGTGGCCTGGTGTGTCTGCAGTTCCTGTTCTTTACTTTTTGCTAGCAAAATTAAATTTTGAAGCAATCATATACACAGAGTGGTTAAGTATCTTACGTCTTGACTTCTGTAGTGCTTTGCACTGAGGTATTCCCATCTTTGCCTCTTTATTTTTTCCCAAATATATCTGCAGGATTTGGATTCAGGATGTCTTTTCTTTCTTATTTTTTTTCTTCAGCTTTTTACTAGATGAATCTTAGCTCTTTCGTATTAATTTCTTCCATCCCCATCTGGGAAACTAAGGTAAACTTTATAGCACCAGCATTACAGATYAGAAAAAGCTACTTCCTTTCTCTGTTTAGTAAGTATGTCTGACAAGTAAAAATCGAAGTCACCTGATACTTAAGCTATAAAGGATGGAATTATAATTACATTACTCTGACTGGCTTTACTGTTGCTTCTTACAGGCTTTTAAAGGAAGAATCAGCAACATTCCAACAATCAAAAAATTCTTGCAGCCTGGCAGCCAGAGGAAGCCACCAACAGATGAGAAGTTTGTTGCTGTTGTGAGGAAAATATTCAATATCTAATCGGATGAGGATAACACAACTGTGGTATGTTACCAGAGCTTATCTTGTAAGTGTAAAGTGCATAGATAWGCTCTATAACTTGCATCATATGGCCAGTGTTGAAACAATACACTGTGAATACGCTTTTATAGTAGACTAAAAGGCTAATTTGGACCTGTTGAGTCCAGAAAGTAGTATTTCATGAAGCAGTTACATGAAATAAAATACGCTGACACTTTGTGTGTGTTCCATTACGCTGCATGCTTGGTAGGGTACAATGTTTCAACTGTAGCTTCCAGAGTACTGTAGAAAGCCACACAATCTCCAACCCCCCCTTTATAAATTACTGGAGAGAGAAGCCACTCCATAAAAATTGAGAAGTCTCTTTTTTCACTGAAAGATCAAAGTACTCGTGTTTAATTGGCCTGCTGTGGTTTTCATCCACTGAAAGCAYCTATTCCCTTTTCTTTTTGCTGCTTCACTGGTCAGTGAGGCAAATGCCCCTTGGGTGAATTTTTGCTAAGGTTTTACTTCCTGCAATCACTTCCCACATAGTTGTAAAGCAAAGTGCACTGGCTGCTTACCTTTYCAGTAAAAGAGTTAGTTTTACCTCAGTACTGCTTCCAGCATGCATTACTATGTCAGATTCTTTACCCTAATTTCATGGGAAGCATCACTGTTCCCTTTAAGARCATTGCCATAAACTATCCTTTGCAGTTGGTTGTTTTTCCTCAGTAGGATTCAAACTGATTAGGCAAACAGTCAGCCGGTGTACATTAGGAATTGTGTGCAGCAGAGTCAACTCATTTTCTGATTTGGGCCTAAGAAGAGCCATGTACATCTCTGAGGTACAAACCACAAGTGCCCGTCACAGCACTGCTGAGTTCCAAACAGGTTTACATTAAAATTACCTCAGTAGCTGGAAGCAGYGCTTTGCCATGCCCACCATACTTGTTCCATTGGCCTATTGCTCTCTTCCAAACAAGTGCTATTATTTAAGAACCACCACAAACACTGGCACAGGACATTGCTGTTGTGTTTTTTGAGTGCAGCCRATCATTCCAGTCTGAAATCTGTAACACACCAGCTTAATCAACTGTGAGCCTGGCAACATCTGGAGGTGACTGATACCAGCACTCATTAGCAAAGATTCCAGAGCTGCAGGCTATGGTTTGGGGTTGGTAAGGATTTTTTTGTGTCATGTTGTGCTGCCTGCATGCCCCCCCTCCCCCTTTTTTTTTTTATTGTCAGTTGTGTCTTAGACATTTGAGCTGCTCACAAGACCTTGTCCCCACCTAAGCCTCTGACAACAATAATAAGCTTGGTCTTCTCATGGCTTTGTGCAGCACTGAGATCTGATACACGATAACCTTCATAAGCAACCTTTGTATGAAAAAAATGAAAAGCAACAAAATTTCTCTTTGTCTTCAAGAGTGCACCCACCCATATTGTTTCCTAATGATTTTTCTTACATTCTCTGTACGCTAGAGGAAAGTCTTGACCAAGGGAATATTTATTTTGTACACAAATCAAAGCAACTTCAATCTCTGAATGATTTATGACTGAACAGTCTCCTTTGCTTATGGGGCAGGACTTGAGCAATATAATCTGTGTAAAACCGTAATGGTAAACCTGTTCCAGAGYGCTGAGTTTGGAACCTCTCTGCAGCATGACAAACCTCAGCCATGGTTCATGTCAGTGGCAATTTACAGCATGGTACATGTTTTAAACCTTTACTCARTACAAAGCAGAGCAACAGACTCTTCCACTGACAAAATGGCTYACTCATCTGCTTAAAAAACTGGTAATCTTCTAACATTTTACATTTTATATGAACAGTTTTTACATTCAGAACCAGTGGAACAAGAATGTGTATTGAACAGGAASTTAGTTTTCTAGTGCAACACAGTACAGGCCCCAGATTTTTTTTATTTAGAACTGATTATTTAATCTCAGAAACTATAAAATTATACTTCAATACAAGAAATCTTTTTAGCATAAACATGTATTTATCTTTATATATATTCTTCTCTCAGACATACAGTGCAAGAGTAATTTAATTTCCTGGGGTGCTCAGCACCCCTAAAAAAGATCAAACTTACAAATAATCATCCCTTGAGTTAATAGGCTGCTTAAATGGAAGTAGTAGATCAAACTATATCAACAAAACACTTGCTTTAATTTTTTAAAAAAGCTATTAAAATATCAGCACATGTCAATAATCAAATAACAGGTACAGATCTTTTACAGAAAATATAAATGCAGTGTAAGACTTGTGTTCCAACTTGTCTTTCACGTATGGAAAGCRTGTCTGTTTGGTCGGCATGGCAGTYGCATTTGGTTCTTAAGTTGCTAAATTCTAGAGCAGCATAAAAACAAGCCTCAAAATCATCAAAAGGCTGGAAAAAAAAMCCMAAMMAAAAAACATAAATATGGCTGTGCATTAATAAAATCAGTGAAAATTATCATAAAATAACAGTGCATTCATAAATAACTGACTCTAGAGTCTGTATTAAGCCATCTTTTCAAGTGTCTAAATCTACAGTCTCAGTGTCTGTTGAAAAACCAYGCCCACCTAGGCTGGAAAAGCTATCCACAAGGGACAATAGTATTTTCCAGTGTTAAGTTCTGATTCTTAAATTTTGTATCTTGACAATTTACTTCTGATTTTTTTTCCTCCCTGTATGTAACTGAAAAAAAATAGAATGGTATTCTATTAAATCTGGTAACAATTGTCAGTCCTTCAGAAGAATTCCTTCAGAATCCTTCAGGGATTCTGATTTACACTTGAAAAATGTTTTGAGTTACAGACTCATTGGGGAAAGAAGTTTTTAACTTACACYATAATTTAATTCCAAAACAGTAAGTACAGAAAATCATATTTTCCAGAATGCCAAACAGCAGCAATAAAGTAGTTAGAACAGTGAGAAACATCATAATTTGCATKAATACTGACAAAAGTTCTTAGGTCAGGTCACAAATGGCTTCCAATGGTACTGTGTTTCCAGTAGTTTTGGATGCAGCACTTTTAAACCAAGTGTTGGCCTTCTTTTAAGATTACTGTGTTGTATGAAATTAGACTAAWTTTATGTGTATGGATTTAAAAACACTAAGGCTTATCCAGGTTCTTCCAACAGCCTTATCATTAWGCATTAATATTTAATTGATGAGCTCTCCTTTTTGTGCTGAGAAAGTAATTTCTTATCAGCTGTATCTGCCTAATGAGATTAAAAGGCTGTTCACTGAAAACAGGACTGTGACCTCCAAACTAATTTAACTTAAGCTGTACAGTTGCTGAATGATAGTAACRTCAACCAATACTGCCTTGAATCAGGTGTGAAATGGCAACTATTTGAAAACTGCTGAAATCTTTACATTAAGATCAGCAATATATRTATTTACCTCAGAAATGCCACTAGTCCAGCTGGCATTAATTTCTTGGACCTCTTGAACCTCATTCCCATTATAATGGTCAACAGAAAAGATGAAACTGTAAAAGACAATCCAATATATTTATATTCTCACTTTTCTCAGTGGACCACTAAGGAAAATGCAGAGTTATCAAATGTCATTGCGGTTTTCCTATGAACTGCAATTTAGTAAAACATTAGATCAGACTCTATAAAAACATTMTTGCTTTTCCAAAATACGYCATTATGATTCCTTTTAGCTACAAATAAGGTTTCCATGTGCAGCAGAATGCTAAATTCTATTCCATRGATGCTAAGTAAGTTTGTCAGACAGTAAATTCTACTCATCCATATCTACATTCATGGGGATACAAATAAAATACAATCTTAGCCATAGCAGTAACATGTAAACTGAATTACAGGAATGGTGGTTCATAAATCCCACCACCCTAGATAATTTCAGTTGTTTTCTAACTAATCAAGGAGCTAGACCATTCAACTTATTTTGTTTTATTTTTAGAGTATTAGCTGTTTATTTGCTGAGCCTTAAAAACGATATTGGAACGTTTGCCACTTGTATTTGCTACAGAATATGGCTATCAACATCTTCTTCATGAACACAAGTTCCTTTGTAGCCTTGTGCTATGTCACGTCCTTGCCTGTGACAAAAGGTGGGCAGCCCAAGACAGCAATAAATGCAGCACAAGCACCAGAGAACAAGCATAATGAAAAAAATTGCATCTTCTTTCTGGAGTAGTTTTATCTGAAAATGGAGGCAGCRATGATCTCAACAAGCATGGGGATTTCATCTTGAAGCATATATGGTTGCAGAGTGCTATATAAATGAGAAGATTGAGAAGAACACATAAAACTGCAAAGATAACTACCTTGATTAAAGAACTGTCACTTAAAATACTTCCTAGAAYGGGAAAGAGAGGCAGGACTTCTCATGGCAGGTGGGCTTTATCACTCTCACAGCCAAAGTAATGGCACTTACATAGATCTCTTTCCTTTTTATAGAGCAGTTAAACCATCTGGCTAATGCTCTTCAAATTCCACTGTCTAGTCCTGGGGCCAATCCTGTGTTCACAGGTGTCAAAAATTAGTTTTAAACTCACTTCAGCATTATAAAACAAGCCCTACAGTCACAAGTTTCTTACAGAACTCTACCAGCTATGTGAACTCATTAGACATGCTGTAAAAAAATTATTATGCTCCATTATCCATTGCTCTTATTTTCTGGCCACATAGTTTTGATCCTCTCAGGAATGTCTGAAAACTATAGCACAGCATGTGTCTTGACAAAGTCCTAAGTATATTTAMAGTTTATTGCAAGCAACAAAGCATGTTCACTCTGTAATGTTCTTTTTTTTTTTTTTCCAATTGCTAGTATCAGGTTTTTCACAGTTTCCAGTGACTTTTTAAGACTTCCAGTTTTTACACTTGATTTTAGAAAGTGCTATACACTCACTGTTTCTCTTTAAACAGTACAAAAAATTCAATAAATCAAGACAAATTCAATCCAGTGAATCATATTCAGATCAGAATCAACTTGCACTATGAATGCTACTCTTGCATATTGAGATTTGAATTTCAACACCTACTTCAAACACATAGAATTGCATTAAAGTATTCAAGAAAGCACAAAGCTACTTTCAGGTGAAGTAGGAAAATGCCTGAAAGAATAATTTATAAAACAACTAAGAGACTATGCCTTGGGTATCCATACACTACACACTCTTTGTATATAGGACAACTTAAAACAACCTTACTATCAAGGTCTTGTACTAAAATGTTGTAGGTCTTGTACTAAATTACTGTAAGAGACTCTTGCACAGGTAAGAAATACTGTCAATAATTACAGATTTGAATGGATGAGTTGTTTTAGATTTCCTAACCTTTTAAAGGTTTGGATGCTTGCTTCATTTTATGTTGTAATTCACTGTACTGTTTTCTAAGTTCAGAGTGGTCACTTTCTTCCATGCACTTAATTCTATCTTTAATTTGTGCTCTAGCTGCTTTTCACACTTTGGCATGTTAAGCATAAGTGAAAACATTCTGTTTTCAAAAACATTGTTTTCCACAAAAGTAATACACGTTTATAACAAAAAAAAGCAATTAAAACATTGCTTTATAAACATTTTAAACTAAGACTTCTAAAAAGTCTTGGTTCCTTTTACTCTGTCTCAAGTGTAGTGAACTCTATCTCATTGGTATTGCTGTAATTTCTACTAATAAGCAATATATACATTTCTCCAGCTGAGAAGGTCCTCACATGCCTACAGCTACATGAAATGCAAAACACTATTTTAGACATCAGACATTCAAAAGCACATAAATGGAAATTTTTTTATCAGTCCTTTCAAAAACAGGGAATTGGCAACATATATTAAGTTTTCATTAGTCTTCTCTTCCACAAATCCTGTATCTAACTTGGTGGCTTAATTAATGCATAGAAGCACAAGACCATGTGCTACTTAAAAGCATCTCACACTGAATGATTCTAAATTTACATACACTTAAAGCTAAGGCTATGTCTTCATCCCAAAAAAAGTTTTGGGTTTTTTTAAAACAGTGGGATAACTTAATCTGAGCAAAATCATAGTGGCAAAACTGGAATCCAATTTAAGACCATCTAGAAGCAGATCAGGTCTGCCATTACCATCTTTACAAAACAACTCAGTAGGAACACTTTGCTGACACTACTACTCAACATTTTTTTGAAATGGAAATTTTTACAATTGCAATTGGTGCAAAGCACAAAGTCAGAAGGAGCAGTATACCAAATTCTAAGTTGAGAAAACAAAAATTGTGTATTCACATAATTTGGATTAATTGTATTTTAAATGCATTYCTGCAAGTGACACCACAGCCTACACCACCTTTGTTAAAATCAAGAGTGAGACAAGCTCTGAACAGCTCTTACTGCAAATCACTTGTGCGAGGTTCATGTCCCCCTTAGGGATTGCAGGTTTTTTTGCTTCCATGAGGGTTTCATTGCAAACTAGCTACCATGACAATTATCGCATAGTTCATATCCTTTCTCAGCAGCAAAAGAAAAACACTAAGTCAAACTATTTGATTCACTGGGAGCTGAGGATATATTACATTGTGCAGCATTGGATCCTACACCTACTTTACTGCTCAAATTGCAAAATTCTAATCTGTAACGCTAATGATTTTATTGCAGTACTATCTCCTGTTTCTCTCAGGATTTGGATTTCACAATATGTGCAATGTTAGGCAACCATCTCATAAAAGGAGGTGTTGCCAGGTGGTAACACACCTGCTGGCTTTGTGTGAATGATCTGCCTTACCCTGCAAATGGCTCCTGAATTTTTTAAGCTAAATTCTAGTGTTGAACTGTATTTAAAACCCAACATTTAAACCAAAACAATACTCAAARTTTACTAAAAAAGAGAATTTTACATGCAGTTCAGGATGCTGGGTTTTTTTGTTTGTTTGTTTACTGTAGTAAAACACTTACACAATGATATCTTCACATTTCTTGGATCACATGTTATGCAGAAAGCTCCATAACCAGCCACAGAGCCAAAGGTGAGTCCAGCAAGTAAAGAGATTTTACTACCTGCAACAAATCATTCAACTGTTATTTCTCAATACAATGTCTTTAAACTCAAACTTTATACAGCAGTTCTCTCACTACACAGTATTATCCAAATATATTAAAAATAAAACTGATTTTGCCACATTCCAGCTAACTCACCCAGTGTGAATAGAGAAGTAATATTTCTGTAACTGCATCATTCTATTGTGTGGCGTTAGCGGCAAAATCAACTGAGTTAGAGGGAGATAATCAGGATCCAACACTTGCAACTTGGGAAAAATAATTCTTGAAACACAAACCTAAAACTGGCTATTTTCTCTATCATACTATAGAAGAATTCTTTAAATTTCTCTGAACTGTCCATTTTATCTGTATCTTACAGCACTTGGGATCTCCAAAAAAGGTAGAAATGTGTTAATATAAAGAGTAAACAACCTGTGTAGTCATAAGCCTTTCAGTCTGACATCAGTCCTGGACAAAGAAATGGACAACCAACATGACACTTAATTAATAAAGAATGAAAAAATAATTAAATGTSAGTGAGGATGAAATCAGGGCTTCTAAAAGTAACTTGACATGTKGCAGTACTATTGCAAAACTGATTCATAAATCCTAGATATATCCATAATGTATTTAGATTTCTGAACAGACTTTTATATGATAAAAGAATAGAATCTGCACAGCAGACATTACTTGAATGAAGCTGATCCCCAAATATTATGAAGAATCCAGACCTCCCAATGTCATTTAGTGTCCAATCCCTTTGAGTATTTCTAATCAAGACTTTGAAAGAAAATGGAAATCATAACCAAATAAGAAAAAAAATCTAGATTTGCCACAAGGATTGACCAGCTTTTAAATTGTGAGGACAAGAAGTGACTGGGACAGTCATTGAATGCAGCCAGCTGCAAATACAAAAATACATAATTTTCAGGAATTCAGATGTGAAGCCGTGTGTCCGAGGGCAAAGCATGTGCACACTACGAAGGGTGACAGTGGACCCCAAATCACAAGAATCGTGACGGATACTGGCCACAGGGATGGAGATCGATGCGCTGCTGAGGCTTTTTGGGGAGCTGCCAGGACCTCGCCTGGAGCTTCTGCCTGCCCGTCCTCGGTACCGCTGCGACCTCTGCCGGGTGCTGAGCGCGGGCACGGCAAAATCCCCGGGAATATTGAAACTGCGCTTTGTGGTACAGTCACCTAAAACCGGCCTCGTTAACTTACAGTGAAAATTCTAATAGTACCAGAGAATTAACCAYCAGCTCAGAGTATGCAGGTAAAGGGTTTTTTTCCCACCGTGCATCTGGAAATGTAAGACTCAAGCCTGAATGTCTCTGTAGAAAATAAGCTTTAATCAAGGATCTACTGTGCTCAACATGGTAATGATTAAAAGKAGATGAGAAAGCCCAAAATGCACTTAAAGTCAAAGATAACAAGACAGCCCACTCTTTGCCCTAAAAACAAACTGACTAAAAGTACATCTCATAAGAATATGCATTTACAGCATGGATGTAAAATAAAGTTGGGTTAATTACAGCACAATTTTCATGTCTCACATTGCATAGAGGAAATTCAAATGCTTCATTTCCAAATCATGCTGTCCTGGTATTTACCTTTACGAGTGTATGCTACAAGACCTCCAGCAACCAGCAATGATGCATAYGCAAAACCAATCCAGTCAACAGCCATGGTCCCAAATCTGGAAAAAAAAACCAAACCTGTATTGCAACTGAAGGCAAACAAATTCCTTCCTCCTGGTAAAAAAGAAATTTGACTTAAAGGGTTCTAACATTTTAGAACCCTTGAGTTTGACTATCAAAAACATTCAGAAGGTGAAGGTGCACCTGTTGGCTATTGTATCACCCTTTCGCTAACTGCGGCTCTTCCTTACACCCCAGTATCTGGGTATTTTTAATCTCTATTAGGAGATTTTTTGGGATGTGTGGTATGCATTCTTCCCAGTAACAAATACATGTATGCAGGCAAAAAGCTTGACATCATTCAAAGCATGTTTTGTTGCACTTGTGCCATGTAGCTGAGCTGAGTGCAAAATATGGATACATACAACTCGTCTGAGTGCTCAGCTCAGAGCTTTCATTCCCTCTCAACCACACTGCCCTGGTGCATTTCAAGTGGAATGTCACAAATCTTASACCAGGCAAAAATATGCATTTGCAGAGTCTATTCAAAGTTTCCAGACAGACACTTAGGCTGTTTTGGGAAGCTAYACATACAGCTGCTTAATCTCGTGTCTGTGCCCCTTTTGTTTCCCTTTACATTTTGATGCATTGTCTGAAGTTAGGATTCTGTCCTGCAAAAAGCATTTAAGGTTCTGTTGGGATGCTGGTCCTTCCAACCCTGGCAGTGCTGTGCGAAGGCACGAGTGTCTSTGCACTGCTCTGCAGCCAATGAGCCCCTGCAGCACCACGGCCTCTCTCATCAGCCCGTGAGACACACCTTTTCCCTCCTTGCCCCAAATTAAATGTACTCTTAATTAAGCACATCCTTCTTCATACTTCAGCGTGTGTCCTTGACCACAGTCTAAAAGGGTGGCAGCAAAGAGTGCTAACTCAGCATTCCATGTCAAGGCTTTAGTAAAGTGCACGACTCTCAGCGAGCCCCCCTCCTCCCCATGTTGTAACCCCTCAGGACGAAGGGTGGGTTTAGGGGCCATGGCATTCCGGAGAACGAGGTTGGCAGGGGATACTCAGGCCTTTGATGTGCCTGGCCTCCACGGCCGCCTCAGACCGGGGCCCGCACCCCGCGCCTCGCTTCCCTGCGCCGCGGCGGACCCCCGGGGCAAGGCAGGGGCCTGCGGGGGGCAGCCCCACGCTCCGCCCAGCGCCCGCTCCCCCCGCCGCGGCTCGGCCCCGCCGCCCCTCGTACCTCGTCCGGCCGCACCGCCCTCCGAGCTGCCCCGGCCCCGCCTCCCGCTCGTGCCGGGCTCCGTGGGGTGCGGGGCCCCCGGCTCAGCCCCGCGGCGGCGGAAGGCGGCCGCCCGTCGCCGTCATGGCGGTGTTGGGCCTGCACACAGCGCCGCTGGCGGAGCGGCGGATGGCGGCGCTTGGCGAGTGGGTGCCAAGGTGACCGTGAGCCGGCAGTCCCTTTGCGGCCAGGRGGGCAGTGGCTCCCAGGGCTGCACCGGGAGCAGCGTGGCCAGCGGGAGGTGATCCCTCCACTCCCCTAGTGAGGCCGCTTCTGGAGTGCTGTGTCCAGTTCTGGGCTCCGCAGTAATAGACATGGAACTACTGGAGGGGATCCAGTGGAGGCCACGAAGATGACTGGGGGTCTGGAGCATTTTTTTTTTTATGAGGAGAGACTTTAGGGCTTTGGTCTTTTCTGTTCAGAGGAGACAGAGAGGATCTCATTAATTCATATGAATACCTCAAAGCTGAGTGTTGAGAGGGTGGTGCCAGACTCTTTTKGGTGGTGCRCAGCAACAGGTCGAGAATCAATGGCCATAAMCTAAATCACCTGAAGTTTCAGCGCAGTTGGTCAGAGCATGGTGCTAATAATGGGCTAGAAGATCTCCTGGGATCCATTCCACTCCTAACAGTTCCGTGCGTCGTGGCTGTGCTGGTGCAGGGCAGCACACTGTTGGGACCCCTCTGTGATAGTGCCCTGCTCCGGGGTGGCCATCTCCTGCTCGAGACTCCTAATCCAGTCCTTCAGGCAGTGGAAAGGTCTGTGGATATTTTACTCTTTTAAGGCCAGTCCCCCTTGCCTTGCCCTGTTTGGGATGGAAGAACTCCTGAATGAGGGAATCAGGTCTGCAGATCCACTTGCCCTGAAGCACACYCATCCCATGGAGACCTGGGCAGGGGCAGGGTGAGGGTCTGCTGCCTGCCCACCACAGACACCATATGACCCAGCAATGGGCACTTACTGCTTTGCCAGGCACCGTTCTGCCCACTGCCCCTCTCATAAGCAGGTTCCTTTCTCTACTTGCCTGTGTTTTTGAAAGTGTGAGTGCTGCATGAAGTCAGGTGAGCAGGCACGTAGGCTRAATGCTGGTATGTGTTTGTCAGGGAAAACAACAGGCACGAGCCTCAAGACCCTGATACTAAACACGTAGCTAATTTATGAGACTGCYTGACATGGTTATTTTAACACCCTGATTTCTTGTCTGCTAACCCTGTTTACTGGATCTGTTCCACCACAAGCTATTTTTGTCCATATTTTGTCCCCCTCCACAGTAGTTTTTTCTCAAGTGAGTGATTCTTGACCAGCACAGGACATATCCTTCAGGGGTAATTTGGGRGCGTCTATGTGCAACATTCCCCACACTTCCCTTGTTCCCACAAATAGACTGAGCATAAACATGGTCACAACAGGGAGAGACTYGCAATGCCATGTGATAGGACTTGGATACCTGCCTTCCTCAGGGGTCATTTGAAAATCTCTGCCAAAATCCTGTGTTTCCTTTAGAATTCTTTGCTTAAAGGTGTGGGAGTTTTCCGCTCCAAAGTGCTAGCTGGAAAGCAAATCAGCATTCTCATTAGGGTTAACATATTTAATTTCCACTCCTAACGTTCCATTTGTTTTTTTTCTGGTAATATTTAACTGCTGCAATACAAACCCACTCCATGTGAGCTGTCCAAGTCTGCTCAGTGGAAAACAGAGCTGCTCTCCTTATCTCACCAGTGTCTGTGGGAAGGAAGACTGAAGGTACAGCAACTTTGGAAAACATTCATAGGACACTTGAGGGCAGGATGGCTCCAAAATGCAAACAAAACTGGATTCATAAGCTGAAATACAGAAATCTTGGATTTCTTTATGAAGTATTATGAGACTTGCGGCTCTTGAAAAGCACAGTAAAATAAACAGAGAATTAAATGGAGCAGAACCATGCAGCTTCATTTGAGGGGATTCCAAAGTGGAACAAATACAGTGTCTTTTGGCACTTCTAGTATAACGCCCAGTTGTGTTTACTGATTCAGTGATACTCATCACTTAAGCAAACTGGGTAACCCTGAAGTCTGGATGAGATTTGAATTCACATAATTATATGCTCCTTGTTATGTTCCCTTCAATTTTCAATTACAAAAAGTATTTGGTACTRTTTTCCCTAAGGTTTTACTTAACTGTTGTCTGATGTGAAATGGTTGCAGTATTTTACAGCATGGATGGAAGGTTTTGAATAGGAGGAAGATTAATTAAATTAGTTTGTTGGTAGCATGACAAATCAAACACCCCGGTCCTTATAGTGAGGTATAACAGAGCTGGCAGCATAACCAGTGTTACTGTTGCTATGTGCTTTCTAGTATAGTTTTCACTTGCTTGTTACTGCCAATCTGAGCTGAAATTCCCTTGTTGGGTGTCCGCTTCCAGCTGTTTTATTTTAGTTTGTTTTGGTTATTTTGTTTTGTATTATGATTTGTTTGCTTTGGTTTTGTAAAGTTCCATTTACAACAGTCGAGCCAACTACAAGGATGAATTTAGGGGAGAATACACAGTTTTGTCCATTATAAACATAACCATTTCACTGAACAGCCTCTAACATCTCTCTGCTTTGGAAAAACAAGCTTTCAAATTTGGCAACCAGCTTGCCTTAGTTTCAGGGATATATTTTTCCATCTTCACAAACTGTGACCTGAAGAGAAAAAGAGTTAAAAATGTTGAGTGGAGGCTTGAAGTTGTACAAGTCCTGTCCCCAGAAAGTTTCACCTTTACTGATCAATGTGTGACCTTGTGTTAGCCCCAGCTACAGTCACCTGAATGTAGACATTCTTCCCCGAGAAAGTCTGAGCTTGTACCTTGCTTTGCTTATGTCCTGTCCAAAACAAGGGGCCTCTAAGGGGCTTGTATAACACAGCMCATCTCCCTTCCCTGGAACCTTTTTGTTGAGGCTATCTGTTGTTAGAGAAGGTGTTGGCAGGATGAAGTTCATAAAAGATCCTTCTCTCCTGTAAGCTGTTGTGTTTTTGTTTATCTTCCTGTATTAAGACTAAAGGCTGCTTATAGCTGTAAGCTCCAAGTGAGATTTAATGCCACCTGCTCTCCCAGAACATTATGTGGTACCAGAAGGGATCTGTGGAGCAGAAGAGTGCCTCTGAAATCCTAGAGACAGAAGAAAAGGTCCTGACATGGGGAAAAAAGAGCAGCTAAGCACCCTGGGACAGCTGTGATTCTGGAATATTTTTGTGCARAGATTGTTCTCTTCATGGGGTGGGACTATGGAAAAGGAAGAGGAGACAAAATACATTTTCTGAAATGCAGGTTCAGAGTCTTCAGGTTTAATAATCTGTAGTTAATTAAGAAGTGAGTTGTTATGTTCCAGTACAAAGAAGTGACTGTTAAGATAAATTCTGTAAGCTTTTTTATATACACACACATACGTAGATAAGCAGTGAGAAGGGCARTGGTGTTAGAGTAACAGAAGGTTTTTTAAAAAGCTGAGGAGGCTGGTGTACAGATGGGTGTACAGCCTCTTGGGCTGTCTTTGTGGGTCATTACCCTGCAGTTCTGACGTGTCATTTCCTTGCAGRTTTAGTATGAAAGGTTAGATCCAGAGTCATCAATAAAATAGTAAAAGGCAGAGATACTGCTTTTTGTAATAACTATGAAGTAATCTGACAGGCAGCCACACAAATTAAGGCCTTTTTTGTGAGCTAAACATATATGAACATGGACTAAAACCTGCAAAGGAAAAAGAGATGGGTTCTTGGGCAGTGATTTCACAGAAAATAGTGTTCAAGTTTAACAGGTCACTGCTGCTAGAAGGGCCTCTTCATTTCCAGTTTTGTTTTCCAGTCTGTTATTTTGTGAAGTAATTGATGAGTTCTGCTCCATCTCTCCCAGTCCTCAATGACTGAGTCAACTCAGTAGCCCAGCAGAAACAACCAGGCAGAAAAATTTATCTCTTTTTGCTGAATTTATTCAATCAGTCATTTGTTTCAATTAGTTAAGTCAGGAGGGTCTACAAAGCATCAGAACTTGAAGGAAGAAGTGGAATTGCATGACTGAGTGGGACGCTGGAGAAAGTCTGCAGGCATCAGCAAAAAAACAGGGAAGATAACCTGAAGCTGTGCATCTTCTTTCACTTGTCATGAAATTTTTCCTGCAAGAAACAATTAGGTATGATGAAATTCTTGATTATTTTGGGAAAATGCAACTCACAGTTGTTTAGTGGAATCTCAGAAATCTTCCTGGATGCTGAGTCCAGCCAACACTGAAATAAGTTATGCCCACATAAAGCTTCCTGCGGTCCTTGCAAGCTGTGACAATATGCACAATACTAATGTGAGAAATTAGGTTCTAGCTACATAAAAAGGTGGAGAGGTCARTAGAAACAAAATGCAAGAATGGGGTTGTGATATGCAGTGATTTTGGAGAGCAGTATGTTAGACTGCTTCTGCCCAGCAGCGGTAATCAAAGGACTAGGGTGTGTTAACAGTGAGTGATTAAACTGCCCTGAGTTCTGCTCAGTTTAGTGGTTTGGTTTTCCTAGCTGAGTTCTCAAGAGCTGATAGACTTCATCTGAAGAAATGGAARTTTTTCTCCTCAGTATCTCAGGAATCCTTGGTCTAACTAAATCCAGATTAGGACCACCAGCTGTGCTCTGCTTTTGATATATCCCAAATTTCCCGTCTTTATTATAAGCATACGGATTTTAGAGCAGTTCAGGAAGTCAGAGTAAAACTCCGAGGGATTTCAAAGATATTTGAAGTGGCTGGTTTCTCATTATGTTGTGTTTTCAGCTGATTGAGAATAACTCATGAGGATGAAAGTTTCTTAGGTCAGAGGAGGGATTTTTGTGTGTGTGTATATTTCCGACCCTTTCCCTAATATTTGTCATCCTGTGACAGCAGACAGCAGATCTCTGACATCTCTCACCACTATGTGCTTGTACAGAGGAGTCTGCTTTTGCCTACACGTACTGAGAGATTAGTTTTTCAGACAACAGTTCACTGAAGCACAGAGGCACAGGATCYCTTGCCCTCTCCAAATTTGCCAGATCCACCGAGGCTTACCTAAAACCTGTATGTGCCTCTAAGCAGGTTCCTGGGCTGCAAAACAGTTCATGTCCATTGGTCTTGCTCTTTCTCTC